GCCTGCCTGGGTTATAACCACCCGCATGGTCATTTGATCACGTGAGAATATTTGGCCTTATCAGGCGCCGAGCTTAATCCGACGTCGAGTCTAACCGGGCATCGGGCCTCGGTCGGGCTCGGTCGGGCGCTGAGCCTAACAATTATTTATAAAGCTATAGCTTATAACTTGACTTAGTTCTACTATTCATGTAATAAGATATCAGACTTAATTATTTCTAATCATAGTTTTCAGTTCATATCAAACTTCTGAAATAAGTTTATAGAAATTCTATATATAAAGTTAAAACTCTCAATATCATATTATATATAGACAGAGAAATAGATTGAAGTAATAAATTAATATATTATTACTTATTTTTATCTGTATATTAATTATTATCAAAATAGTTGAAATAAGTAATTATTTATTATATATCATACTTTTGTAGTTACTTTAAACATTTATATTAAAATTTCTTTCTTTCTAACTATAAATAAATAAAAGTCATGAATATCATTTAACTAACTATCTTTTTCAAGAAAACTAGATATAAAGTAGAGAATAAATCAAAGATAGCTTAAAGCTTTATTTATTAAATAAAAAATTTTTAAAAGTATATAGATAAATATATAAAAATAATACAAAAATAGATAAAGAAATAAACTAACAAATATTATCAAAAAATCCAATCTTAAAATAGAGGATTTTATATATTTGATATTGAAATCATATAGTATTAACTAATTAAGCTATAAGCTGACAGTATAGAATACAGATCTCTTTAAAATTCTAATGAAGATAAGTAATATTTATAGACTAAACCTTCATATAATTATAAAAATATATTTAATCCTCTTCTCAGATAAACTAAATAAAATTTATGAGATCTTCTCTATTATCAGTCTGTCAAATAATTAGATTTAATTAAAATAAATAAAGAAAATAAATAAAAGATAAAGTATATATTAGTCTGCCAAATAAATTAAGACAAACTATAATATCAAGTTCATTAAAAGAAATTTAATGAGAATTTATCTTAATACTCAGCTCATAATACCAAAGAACTACTATATATATATATAAATTTTAAAAGACTAATTCTATAAAAGCTATACTCTCAAGATAACTAGATGAATAGCTGAAGACATGAAAAACAGATAATTATCTAAAGAATAAGATTAATGATAATTTGCTGGTATGAGAACATATCTGTTTCAAAACTGAGAGATGATGTTAGTATAATAACATTTGACATGATTGAACTAAATATTAAAAAAAAGTATAAGAAGTACTATAACTAATATTATAAATCACTATATCTCTTAAAGAAATTTAAGAATTCAGAGTATTTATATATATAAATAAGTAGCAATAAATTTTGTCTCTAATCTTTTATAAAATAAATTATATAATAGTAATTCTATTCTTTAATAAGTAATAATAGATTTTATCTCTATTTTTTTATGAAGTGAAGAATTGATAATATAATGCTCTTTCATAAAATGAGAGATTAGTGATATAAAGTACTGATTTTAAATTGTATAAAGTGCTGATTCTTCATGAAGTGCTTTATTAAGTAGTATAAGAATAAGAAGCTAGTATAAGAGATCTTGATATCATATAATAACTAAATTGATAAAAAATATATAAATAAAAATTATACAGATAGAGGCAGAGATGCTACTTCAATGGCACCATTTCAATAAAGTCTTGATAGTGTGAAGGTATAGTAATAGCTCAAAGATACAGCCTGAGTATTATTGAGTTTAGAATATAGTTTTTTTTATAATTGAAGATTTGAGCTTAGATGTTACATCCGCTGTCGCTGGTAATATGGGATAAAGTTGATCCGTTCCGACCTCAACCATATTCAGTTGCTTAGGTTGATCCGCTCCGATCCCCAACCATATTCGGTTGCTTAGGTTGATCCTCTCCGATCCTCAACCGCCTATATATATTGGGCTGCTTGTTCATTCTCATATTATTCTCGTTGCAGCTACCTAGTAGATAGATGAATTGAGCTTTTGTCTTATTACCATCATGCCTCTAGATTGAGCCATGACATTAGAGACTAGAAAGCAAAGACCCTCAATCTGCAGCAGGAGTAATACATCTGGACATAATACTTGGCAGTGTCAACAGACCTAAGTGTCTATCCTGTATAATTTCTGTATAGAATTCCTTGTGGTTGTTGCACAATTTGAAATTTTGTCAAATTAAATGATGGGAGTGATCCGGTAGGTCCTTGCTGAGTCAGTAATCCTTATCAGTCAGATAAGGGGCTTGCTTTGGCGCTAGTCCGTTTTGGACCAGAATGTTGTTCATCAAATCACAGCGACTTCAACTTTAATTTCCAACAGTCCTCGACACGACACGCACGGCCGCTCACAGCTGCCTGCTACACAATCGACTGCGTTCTTAGGCTTCCGCAGTTTTCCTTCACTCTTGAAGCTGTCTTGGTTCCAACCATCATGGTCGCCGTGCTATTCAAGGCCCCACGATGTCATAATGCGCGACCAACTTTTACGCCCAACGCCCTCGAGCCATCCGTGTCCTGCGAAGAAAATAATGGCCTCTGATAAGCCCCATCTCAATGGCCGACAGGCCAAACCCTTCACACCTATAATGAGTTCCGCGTTTCGAACCACGAAATCCCCATTAACTCCCAAACTTGCTGATTATGCACCAACCTGCACCACCCATAAACCTGTATACCTCGAGTCAACCCAGCACCCACGAAATGGACTCACCCACTCCGAGACTTCCACACCAACATCCTCCATGCTGAGCGCAAATGTAACCCCTCGATCAGGGCCGCGGTTGTCTCGTCGAGACGGAAATCCTTCTCCTGTGGAAATCTCTCCCATATCCCAACATCCCATATATTCAACGCTCATTCCTGACCCTCCCACACCTCCAACGTTAGATCTGATTCCAAAGGAAGATCGCTTTGTTTCGATGCCCAGGCTAGCTAGAGTAGAGAGTCTCGTGAATGACACGAAATGCCTTACAACAAAATTTCGACCTCCGTCATCTTGTGGGAGCTCTACAGGAGCGCCAATGTTTTTCCATGCAGACGATACTAGATCTCCCCCATCCACAACAAGCCTAGACATGCGGACTGGGTCGCTGCAGAAGCAGGCTAGCCCGTCAACTTTTATTTATGCTTATGGGCCTGCCTCTGAAAATTCTCATCGTGATGGACCGAAGACTGCCACACCCTGGGAAAAGACCCCTCGACTACCTTCTCTAAAACGGCCAGAGCTCACAGCCTCATCACGATCGAAGCAAACTCGCATCCCAGGTATATTTGCCAGAGATTCCCATGCACTTACACATCATCGAAGTCCTTCAAATTCTCATCCTACACCAATCCCAACCTCAGATGTTTCGTGTGACCAGCAGTCACCCAATCCCCACGATCAGCCACCATTGCCCCTGGATAGCCCAAGAAGATCATCTCACACAAAATCCTTCAGTCAGGATGCTTCGCATCATGTGAAGCAACAGAAACAAGAGTTCTTATCAAACCTCAGTGGAACTCCACAGTTAGGATCAAGATCGGGCGAACACCAACAGCTATTGTCAACTACAGCTCCCCAGGAGCTCAGCCCTCAGGTTGTAGGTGCCCACCATTTTCCTCCCACGGATTATGCATCCCTTCCTACTGCCGGTCTTCATAGCTCAATGAAAGAGGACGTGCCTCGAAATTCCAATATCGATAAGTTGAATGAACTGGCATTAAATGCTCGCCGAGAACGTAAAGTCCTTGATCTTGAGATTAGCAATTCCTCCTTGCTTGCAATCAACCGTGCATTGGAAAGGGAGATGAGGAAACAGAATTCAGAACTGCGCCGCTACAGGCGTCTAACGCGATCTGGCCGCCTTTTGATCCCTGAATCTATCTCCACGTTGACAGAAAGCAACATGTCCGCTGTCAGCGAAACACTTGATGAACCTAACGCCATATATTTGACAAATAGTTTGAATGATGATCTCTCAGAACCCAGTGACAATGAGTCTTCACTTTCCGATGACGGCACTCCTAGCCTCAATGGCATTGTCGACCGTGACGAGAAACATTTAACTAGAGATGAAAAACGATTCATCATTGATCTTACGAAACATAAACAGGTCCTTATTGACAGCCAAATGATGAACCAGAGCATCAAGCGTTGCTTGGGATGGACCGAAAGCTTAATTCTTGAAGCTAAAAGAGCTCTCGACTATCACGTCCATCTCACAGATATAGACATTGGCGGCAGAGTACTCTTCCCTGATGAGATTGAAGGCGAAGCAGAAGGTGGGAGAGGGCTCTTGGGTTCGACGGGGGGATAGGTATATTGTATTGGTCACCAACAGTTCAGCATTCTTCCCCGTTCGATATTAACCTACCAGTCTCGAATTAACTTTCATTATTTAGCTCCCACCATTTATTTTGTGCTGTAGCTAGACAGAACCTACCTTGACATATGCCTGATTTCATTACTCTTCCTCTCTCTCCTTTGAACTGCAATGACGGTTTTCCAACTGCCACACGCCAGCGAGGCATGTCTGTGAAGATGTATCATACAAGCCGTGTTGTCATTTACTTATTTATTGTTATTATTATTATTATTATTATTATTATTATTATTTGTATTTGTGGAGTTAGTCTGGATTCGGTGTTGGATGCTGGATGCTGGATATCCTCTTAATAGGGCACATCGGCCCTTCACTCCCTCTCTACTCCAGTGATACCCTTAATTTCTAGTACATATCAGTTTCAACACGTGACATTTCTCTTGAGCTTTAATAATATCACATTATTATTCTAACTCGTGTAGTTGAGTATCCGTAATTACGATCAGAAAATGCCAATAGGTGTGGATGTAAGTCAAGGGGAAGGGATGGAATGGAGGAGGGAGGGGTAGTTTCATTTCTAGCAGGCAGAAAGGGCAGGCAGAAAAGGAAGGCCCTGGAATTACTCCCTTCAATCGAGAAATTCGATTACGTTCCAAGTCATCATGGAGAATATATTACGAATTTTGTTCCGATGTCCAAGTGCCCTCACCCGTTGATTCTGCTTTTGTCCGTTTGCCCTCTTTCTTTCTCTCACTCTTAGCTTTCTTTGCGGTAGCCTCAGCCATGAGCTGTTCGAAGGCCATATAATCACCTTCTTCTTCGGGGGTGCGTCTTGCCTAGATCAGATTTTCCAATTAGTGCACTGGCTACAAGTCGGGCCGAGAAGCCGAAAGAGGAAAAGAAAGGGAAGAAAACAGAAGAGCAAACAAGAATAGGGAACAAGAACAGGGAACGAAAAACCATACCATTTGGTATATCCGGCCACTAAGAACAAGAGCATGAGCGCGATCGATACGTTTCTCCAAACGAACGGATTTATCGTTCAGGATCTTATCACACACGTCACGCAGGACGCTCTGAATTTCGAATTTACTGCCTCGCCATGCGGCTGCAAGCATTTTGCCGGTGACTAGTTTTACCTGTTCAGCCATCTTTTCATCGGTCCAATCCTCACCACCACGCTCCTCGAGTTGAGCCATGTGCTCTGCGCTCATCTGGGCATCAACCATTGTGGAAACCGCATGCCAGGTCTCCTTAGCCAGCGTGCCTTTATCCTTCAATCTCGACCAGAATCCTGAAATCCCAAGAAATTTCTGGGACTTGATGAATGCTGAGCCCTTTTGGATATACGTGGTGCCAATAGCATGTAGAATTTCAAGACCAAAGGATTCCATCTTGAGGTTTTCAACTTCCAAACGAGTCTTCTCTTCAAACGCATGCGTCACGTCCGGGCCCATATCAGTTTCCGTCCAAATGCTAATGCGATCAATGAGTTTTTGAGAAAGGGTGTTGATTCGTTCTTCCCGCTGCCGCCGTCTCTCAGCCTCAAAGGCCGCCAATCGGTCCCGCTGCTCTTTGGTGAGACCTCCTTTTTTCTTCTCCTTTTTCCGCAGTTCCCTTTCCTCGGCGGAAAAGGCTTCCATCCTCACATCCTCATCTGACCTATCCATGAGGACTTGTTGACCCAAGCAGCGGCGTGGGGTATCGGCGCCAGAACTGGTGCCTGATTGGGGCGGCATCTCTGGAGAGGTGGCCTTTAGCTTCGGTGCAGCGCCGGGCGCCGGCGCTTTAAGATCTCCGGAATGACGAGGCAGAGAGCTTTCAGCAGGCTTCTCAGATAGGATTTCCTGGTCATGTACGTGAAGCTGGGTCTTCTTAGCGTCAGCTAGTTCACCTTGCTCCTCCTCCTCACCCTGCATAGTAATATCCATGGTCTGGGTGATATCCTTCATGAGCGAAATTTCACCAATTAGGTCGACAAATGCGCCGCCTCCGAAGATCATGCTAAAGAATTCGGCAGGGTCCTCTGAAATGCTGTTAGAAGTCGTTCCAGGTTGGTTGGAGGGTTAACGGTTGAGGGTGACGGCTTGAGGAGGAGCTAGAGATCAAGGCAAGGGGTGATATAACTCACCAAATCCACTGTCAGGCACAGCATGGTCCTTGCCAAACTTGTCATATTGCCTTCGCAGCTGTTCATTGCTTAGGACTTGGTATGCCTCACCAATCTGCAAACACAGGATTGTTAGAGCTTTGATTTTCATAAATCGCAGGTTACGTTTGCTTGCTTAGAACGCAACATGGAGACAAAATTTTTGGGAAGAGAAAAGGGGAAGTGAAGTACTGCTTGGAATCGTTCGTGTGCAGTTTCATCACCGGGATTTTTGTCTATTGGAGCGAGCGGCCATGTTAGTAATACAAAGAGTGTTTGAACATGAGATGGAGGCATTCCAGAACAAAAGGAATGAACGGACCAGGATGGGTAGTAATGGCTAGTTTTCTATACGCTTTCTTAATCTGTATTTCTGTTGCATCTGTTGGAACGCCTAGCACGTCATAATAGGCGGTATCTGCCACCATATTGAGATTATAAGGGATAATAGAAGGGGAATATGCAGGAGCAGAAGGAGAAGGGGGGTGTTATTCCGGTATCGGGATAAAGCTATGGAACTTCTTTGTCAGATTGGTAGACGCTTGAGAAAAGGAAAGCAATGAAGGGGAATGGGACAACCGGGTTATTTGCGCATCACAGCGTGGATATGATATAGGTATGGCTGTCAGTTCCAGCGCAGACCGTGACAAGAGTTGGGCAGTTTTCTGCACGTCCCAATAATTTTTACCGCGATGTCATTTCCTTGCGCCTGCCTAGGCAGCGCGCTAGTTTGTTTCGGGGTTCGTACCTCTGTGCCAGAGCGCGAATGCTGACTAAACTAGACAGTTCAGATCATGTGATAGTGGTAGATTTCAATGCATTTTCCCTTTATGGACTGAATCGGATCCATAATAGCCCGCCCTGGTTGGAGATCACATTTCCGAGGCTTTAGTCAGATCTAACCTGCTGTGTGTTTTCTCTTCTTTTTTCACTGCCCTCGCACATTTTTCACTTCCTCCTTCCAGAACTTCTCCGGCTCCAATTTCACTGCAACCTACCTCCTTAGGCCATCCAGGTAGGGTACAAACAAACTGCATGAATGCGCTCCTGAAACCTCTCCTTGCCACCTCAATTGTCGTCATCTTTATACCTCTTTCTCCCTTCTGCTTTCTCTTCCCTAGTTCTCTTAAAACCTCTGTATTTTTGGATCGCCGCCATGGTTACCATCACAACACCAATATACTACCTCTTCCATCCTCAAGAGTTGAGGTCAATTATTCAATGGTAAGCTCCTCTGGGTGCTCAACTCTCTTCTTTACTCTACTGCGAAATAGTACTTTGTATAAATCCCCTCTTGACCCTCTCCAGCCCCTTTTCTCACATTTCCCCCCTCACTCCCTGTTGTTATCATGAGAAGAGTTTCCTCTCACATTATCTGGGGAATTATCAATTAACTAAGTAGAATGTCTAGGAAAGTTTGGCATAATCCGATTTATGAAAGAGACGAGAAGCTAGAAACACAAACAGAAAAGATATGCTTCCATTTCTTGAAGCTCACTAGTAGAAGCTTTAGTGCGGTCATTCTCGAGCTGCATCCTGAACTTCTCCTCCCAGTTTGTCTGTTTTATTTGATCCTTCGCGGTCTCGATACCATCGAAGATGACACCTCAATACCTTTGAGAACAAAAGAGCCATTGCTCCGAAACTTCCATAATTTCCTAGACGAGGATGGCTGGTCATTCAATGGCAATCGCCCAGAGGAGAAAGATCGCGAACTGCTGGTTCAGTTTCACAACGTCATCTCTGAGTTCAAGAAGATAAATCTTGCTTACCGGACTATAATCAAAGACATCGCCAAGAGAATGGGCAATGGTATGGCTGACTATTGCCGAAAGGCTGAGCTGGAAACGGCAAAGGTTAAGACCATCGAAGAATACGATCTCTACTGCTATTATGTGGCCGGCCTTGTTGGTGAGGGACTCACCAGACTTTTTGTTGAGGCTGGATTCGCCAACCCAGCGCTTTTGAATCGCCCGGAGCTCTATATCTCAATGGGTTTGTTTCTTCAAAAGACGAACATTATTCGGGATGTCAAAGAGGATCACGTTGACAAGCGCTGCTTCTGGCCAAAGGAAATCTGGTCAAAACATGTCAATGAGTTTGAAGACCTATTCAAACCTGAAAACAGAGCTGCTGCCTTGAACTGCAATGCAGAGATGATCCTTAATGCTCTTGATCACGCTGACAAGTGCCTTTTTTATCTTGCCGGGCTTAAAGAGCAGAGTATTTTCAATTTCTGTGCAATTCCCCAGTCTATGGCCATTGCAACCCTCGAACTATGTTTCCGGAATGAAACCATATTTGAGCGTAATGTTAAGATCACAAAGGGCATCGCCTGTCAGCTCATGGTCCAATCAACACAGAGTGTGCGGGTAATTTGCGATGTATTTAAGCTATACATTCGCAAAATCCACAAGAAAAATACACCCAAGGACCCTAATTTCCTGAAAATTAGCGTCGTCTGTGGCAAGGTTCGTCTAGCATCTCCTCACCTTCTATATTCTATCTCTCGTACGTTCCCATTGCTACATGCTAATTTTTGTGATTTATTTTGCACTGTCTAGGTCGAAAAGTTCATTGAATCCATCTTTCCCTCCCAATCGGCGGAGCAGGCTCATTTGCGGGCAAAGCAACATAAAACTCCGGAGGAAACTGAACAAGCTCGACTGGATGCCGAAGCCCGACAGGATACAATGTATATAATGTTTGCCCTATTTGGGGTCCTGTCCGTCCTTACAGCTATCATGGTATGCTCAAAAACAAAGTTCACCGTTAACATTGGCACAGTTTGGCTGACGGTGTCTCCAGATATTTGCCGCTTGGCTTTTTGGAGCTCGTTTCGACCTCGCTTTTGAGCAACTTAAGCAAGGAAATTTCCGTCCTCCGCCACGTTTCTTAGAGTACCAGGAGCTATAGGATATTGTTCTATACCATATACATAAATGATCTCCCTAACTAACTTCGCGTCTGGTGATTCTTTCTTTTCACTTACTAATCATCTATTTCATCGGATTCTACTTCTGCAACTTTTCTTTTTACCTCTTTATAGTACAAATTACCAATTCAGTGCGAACTTCTAGCACGGATGTCAAATTACAATCGCGCCCTAGCTTTCTGGCGGTGGTTGTGCCGAAGATGTGCTTATATCAATATTCTGTTGTATTAATTTGCGATTAGAGCAGCCAGGCGTACTGGGTTCCTGTCTCACTGCATTCTGGGTCAAACTAGGTTGCGGGAATGGTATTTGCCCATTGAAAACCTGGCAACACAAGCTTTTAAGTTATTATGATTATTGTTACAAGTATGCTTTGCTCACTACACTCACTACAGTCTTATATATATCTGCTCATCCAATGTTGCATATTGCATATTTATCAACTAATCACACTGTTGAAAAACAGAAATGTATCATTAAGTAACAAACTGTAGAATTCATTATATTTAAAATAGCTGATAGAGTGAAGCAATGTGTCACAGCTTCAATCTAGGCGCAGGTAAACAGCTGTTTGATTGCCAATTGGGTAAGCTACTTCAACGAAATACTAAGATGGTTCCTAAAAGACGGGCCCGGGGAAGGCTTGGTTTATATACCCCTTAGCGCATTACCCCTTTCCTTAGCAGGGTTGCTAGGTCATTGTTAGGTAGTTTCTGTGGGGTAATTGTGAGGTGGTTGCTATGCTGATGCTAGGATGGAGCCTGTTCTATCTAGTGGATGGAGTCTGTTTATCCAGAAGCTGAGTCTGCCCTATCTGATGGATGGAGTCTGTCTATCTGGTTGGACTTATGATGTCAGATGGTCTGGGGAGAGTTCATTCTATGCCATTATATTACTTTTCTTTGGAGCTCAGGTATGTCCTTATGCTGATAGATTATCATTCACTTCATCTGCTAGATAGTTGTCTTTTTCTCAAGTTTCTAGTTATTCACTTAGTTTCTTTCATGACTATAGTAGAAACAGAAACTCTACAGTCTTTGTTATTAGTCTATGTGAGATTAATAAGCAGCTTGAGAAAAGACAAGATCTTGTAGAAGCTGATGCTGAATGTGATGATGAGTTGATCAATAATCTATTTAAGTAATTGAAGAATTAATAGAACTACTTCTTGAATAATATCTCAAATAAATTACATTCTCTACACAAGAACATTAATCTTAAAATAGAACTTCAGTCAAACACAGAGTTTGTCAGAAATGTGAGACACATATCACTATACAAAATGAATCTGAAGAAATTAAAAGCAGTGAAAATTTATCTGAAGATAAACTTAGTAAAAGATTTTATTATAACAAGCTCAGTTTTTTATATATTTCTTATTTTAATTGTCTATAATAAAAAAAAACTATAATTCTATGTTGATTTCTACAGATTGAATATCATAATTAAATAAAATTAGTATTTACTGCTTCTATTAGATGAGTTGATAGATTGACTCAATGAAGTAAAATACTTCACAAAGCTGAGCATCTGACAAGAGTTTCATCACATTCAGATGAATTTTGAATCTGAGAACTTGATCACATTTAAAATCTACTGTAGAATCTATAAATATCAAATAATTTTTTTAATCTTATAAATGCTTCTATCTGCTTTTAATGATTTATCAATAATCTTTTTCTTGACTATTTAAACAAGTTTATGATAGAATTCATGAATGATCTTTTAATTTACAGCAGAATTTTTGAAGAATATAAGCAGTAAATAAATCTAATATTGAATTGATTAAAGATAATAGACTTATAAACTAGCATTAGAAAATATGAGTTTACTGTTCATAGAACAACATATTTGAGATTTATTATTATCACAGAGAAAATTGAGACAGACTTTGAAAAGACTGCTATTATTATAAAGTAATAGATCTCAATTACAAATAAAGATGTTCAATCATTTCTAGAATTTGATAACTTCTCTCAATGATTTATAGAAAACTATAACTGAATTGAAAAACCACTATATCAGTTGAGAAGAAAATAGTTTCATTTATATGAACATTAGAATGTTGGTCAATCTTTGAGAAACTGAAGAAGTAACTGATGAAGACTTCCACTATATATCACAATAACTTTGAATGTGTAAAGGGTTAAGCTCTAAGAACTAGAGGCTAGTCCTTCTATATAACAAAGACAAATTGCTTGAGAAAGGGAAGAAAAGAATGAGATGAGAACTCAAGCTTAAGCAAGCTCACATAGCATAATCACATGCACATGTGCAAATGATGGCTAGGCTGAGTCAGCCAGCCAGAGTGAATCTAAAGGTTCAATCTCTTATAATACCTCACTTCTCCCTCTTTGTTGCAGGTCTTTATGACTATTTAAAGTCCTCTTTACATCTAATTTTGTCTGCTGAGAGGCCTCCCAAGTGTTCAAGGTCTTTGCTTCTTGTAGAAGACTCACATCATTCCATGTAGACTCAGCCCAACCTACTCATTTAATGAGATATTGTTTTTTCCTCTGATAGGTTCATTCACTCTGAATTTTCTCAATCTCAAACTCAGGTTCTTTCAGAGTCTCTATAGCAGATGGCTGCCAGTCAGTTTGCCTCTGACTAGGCAGGGGATCTGTCACTGTAGCATGTAAAAGCTTTACATTAAAGACATTGTGAATACTAAGTGAGATGTTCAATCAGTAAGCATGAGATTCTATCTTTTCTAGTATGATATATTAATTATATTTTGCATTCAGCTTCTTGCACAGATGATTAGTTCTCATGATCTCTAAGCTCAACCAGATCATGTCTCCAGGTTGAAAGCTTGAAGCTGAGTCTCTTTATCTATTCATATATTTCTCTTAAAATTGCTGAGCATTCATCATTTTTACTTGAGCTTACTTCAACACTTTGTAAGTCTTTCTCATATAATCATCTGCAAACTCAATAGAATTATATGATATTTCAACAGAAGGTGCATCAGCTATATCAATGAAGAAGACATGAAAAAGATGTGTTAAAAAAAAATGAGCTCACATCCATTGAGACAGCATCTCTATTATTGATGACTAGCTCTGCTAGAGAGAGTCATTCACATCAGTCATTCTGTTGAAAGCTAATATACTTGCATAGATAGATTTCCAGAGTGTGATTCATTCACTTTGTAGCTTCATCAGTCTCTGAGTGATAGACTGTGAAGAGTCATCTCTTAATATCTAATTTCTCACACATCTGAGTTCAAAACATGCTTGTGAAAGCTGACCTTCAATCTGACACTACTGTCTTAGAGATGCCATGTCAAGAGATGATGTTGTGAAGAAACACTCTAGTCACTGTCTCCACATCAGTTTTCTTAAGTGCTTTTAATATAACCTTCTTGATCAGTCTGTCTGTTTTAATTATGATGTTCATATATTCTTTAGAGCTCAGTAAGTCTATGATAAAGTCTATAGAAAGCTTCTGTCACATGTGTTCAGAAATAAGAAAAGGTTTAAGCAGTCTCTGATGTCAATCTCTTCATATGATGTTTGATCTGCAAAGATGACAGTTTTTGATCATTCTTCTTACATTGATGGTATAGCATGACCAGTAGAACTCACATCTTAGAACTTCTGCCATTTGCACTCACCCAGGATGGCTGATAAGAGGTGAGTCATAAGCCTTGTGCACTAATCTGATTTGAAGAGGTTCAAAGTCTGGCATCTAATTATGATCTTGAAAGAGAAGCTCTCTGTTCTCATTTAAAGAGTACTCAGAGATGAAGATCTTAATGCTGAGTTCAGAAGAAAATCTGAATTTTTTCTCATGAAGAGTTTGCTTCAGATGCTGCAGAATCTTGTCATTTTTGCAGATCTCATTTCACTGAGCTTGAAGAGACATCTCAGATTTCACACTGGCAGCAGCCACTATTGATTCCATTTCAGATGCTAGTACATTAAACTTAAGTAGTTGAGCTTGTTTCTGCTTAATCCTCTCATCATCAGCACTCTGTAGCATATTCTGCTCTCTTCATGATAGAGTGTCCAGTCCAGCATTCAACTTCTCTGACTGATAATCAATTCTGAAGTTGAATCAATAGAGAATATTCATTCAATATAGCTATCTTTCATTTAGTCTGCATGTAGTCATGAAGTATTCTAGATTCTTATGATCTGTGAGGATATTGAATTTCTTTATACTTTGTAGCTCAATATCTCATTTCTTTAAACACTCAATTATTGCTAATAACTCCTTATCATGAATCTTGTAGTTGCATTCCACAGGTGAATACTTGCAAGAGAAGAAGGCACATAGATGTAGAATGCTCTGCTCATCATATTGTAGCAGCACTTCTTCTGAGATGTAATCTGAGAAGTCTGTTTCCAATATAGTCTCATGATCAGAGTTGAATTGAAGCAGAATCAGAGCAGAGATAAACATTGATTTTAGATACTTAAAAGCTTTTTCAGCCTTGCTCATCCACAAAAAAGAAACATTCTTGCTTGTAAGAATTGTCAGTGAGATCATAATCTTTGAGAAATCTCTGATAAATTATCTATAGAAATTGACAAAGCCTAAAAATCCTCATACATCTTTAAGAGTAGTAGATGTTGCTCATTTCAAAACAGCTTTAATCTTCTTCAGATTCATTTGTATATTCTTTTCTGCTTCTATGATAAATTCAAGATATTTTGTGCTGTTCATCTCAAACTCACTCTTTCTGATATCTGCCTGCAGGCCTGCTTTTCATAGACATATAAGCATCTTTTGTACATGCTCACAATGCTTCTGTAAGCTTTTTAAGAAAAATATCAAGATGTCATTTAAATAGACTGAGCAGAAGTCTTCCAGATATCCACATAATGCTCAGTTGATATATTTTTGAAACATGCTCAGAGCATTGACCAAATCAAAGAGTGTAATCAGTCACTCAAATAGCTCATATCTGGTTCTAAAGACTGTCATCCACTCATCTTCTGTGACTTGAATCTTGTGAAAAGCTGCAATAATGTCCAGCTTAGTAAATTATTTATTCTGTTTAATTTGCTGTAGAGTCTCACTGATTAATAGTAGAGAATATCAATTCTTTCAGATGATTTTGTTAAGAGCTTGATAGTCTACACAGAATCTTAGCTCACTTTCAGACTTCTTTGTGAATAGTACAGAGGCAGTTGCAGAGAAGTTGCTCACTCTAATAAAATTCTTATATAGATAATCTGTAAGAGTCTTTCACAAAGTCAGTAGTTCCTCTCAAGACATATTATATAGTGGGTCTCAAGAGAGTTGTTCCACACTATCATCAGTCTTTTTAATCAGTTCAATCCCATGATCTCTACCTGGGCCACAAAGTGGGGGTAGAGTGTTGGCAGCTTCCTTATCAAATACATTCAAAAACTCATGATAATGTTCAGACAGCTTTTCTCTAGAGTCAATCTTTAATTTCACTTCTAGAGTCTTTTGAATATCAGTCAAACTGACAGTGAAGATCTCAATGTTTCACTTCTCTCAAGTGCTCACAAGTCTAGAGAAGCTTACAGCAGAGATGGAAATCACATCAGCTTTTGCATTTGAACTAGACTCTATCTCTATGCTACTCTCTTTAAATCTCACAATTCTTTGATGAGAGATCATAGTCGCCTTTTGCTGAGCCAGCCAGGGGTAGCCTAGATACATATCATGACTATGTAATCTATTCATCATGTAGAGAAAGATCTGTTCAGTTATGTGACTGCCTATATCAATTCAAATGCCAGTCATTATACTTGTGGAGAGTCCCATGGAGTCTTCAAAGTCAGTCATTTTAACAGAGGAAATTTCAATGCACAGAAGCTTATGCTTGTTAATGTAGAATTGAGAAATAAGACTATAGATATTAATGTAAACCGCCACACAACACACGCTATCACACAATGCACGCCCCAAAAAGCTGATTTTTGAACTCAACCTTCCACCTTCAATCGTCTACAACATGTCAACTAAAGAAGCTGTAGAGCTCACAGTAGCTGAATTTCTTTTGCAAGAGGCTGGCAATTATACTACTGTTGTAAAAAAATACAGAATTCATCAAACTACACTTATGCAACACATTACAGGCAAATCAGTATCTCAAAAAACTGCCAACTCTCTATATAGACAGAAACTTATGAACTCTCAAGAGAAAGAGCTTATTTGATATATAAATTGTCTTACAGACTGTGGCTTTCCTCCTACACCTTGAATTCTTCAAAATCTAGTTGAAGAAATCCTTCAGAAGCTGATTGATAAGCATTGTATCTCTAGATTTTGTCAACACCACAAGAATCACATCAAAAGTCTATATTTATGAGCAATTGATCAAAAACACAAAAGAGCTGATAATTCTGAGTATTTTCAGCACTTTTTCCAGCTTATATTTGATTGATTTTTATTTACATTACCTGCAATTTAATGAGGGGTTGCTAATGCTTGAGCATCTTAGCTAGATGAAAAGATCAAAAAATTCAACATTCAACCATCTAATATGTGGAATCTTGATGAGAAGGGCTTTCTTATGAGCATCATGTAAATCAGCAAGTGAATAGTCTCTGTATAGCAGCTTAAGAGTGAGAGCTTGCTAGACATGATTCAGAATGAGAGTAGAGAATTCATCTCTTTGCTAGCTGTCATATCAGCCAGTGGAAGGTCAATGCTGCCAGGTCTTATATATCAGTCAGACTTCAGGGATTTGCAAGATATGTGGCTAGAAGATTTTAATTCTAAAGAGCATGAGGTCTTTTTTGCTGTCTTCATGAATGGCTGGAGCAGTGATCAATATGGATTACATTGACTGCAACAGGTCTTTAATCCTCATACAAAGGCTAGAAATGGAGCCTGGTGTCTGCTCATCCTTGACAGCCATTCTTCTCATGTCAATATGAAATTCATCAACTATGCTGATCAAAATTGTATTATTCTTGCTGTACTGCTGCCTCATTCAACTCATCACTTGCAGTCTTTAAATGTTGGTATTTTTGAACCTTTATCAAAGACATACTCTCAGCAGATGAATTTATTCTTACACTCAGCAATAGGAGGTGTATCCATTAAAAAACACAACTTCTTTTTATTATTTCATAACACCTGGAAGCAAGCTGTCATGAAGTCAAATATAGAGTCTGAATTTACTACTACTGGCATTTATCCTCTCTCATCAGATCAGATGCTTAGCAAGCTTGCTAGATCAAGCACTTCAGTCACAGCAGAGCCAGCCACACCCACTATCATATGAGAACTGTGACAGGCAGTTAAGAAGTTAAATCAACAGTGAAGAATCTCTACTGGGTTTTAAAAAATTGTTCATGCTAGTGAAAGACTAGTTTTTGAAAAAGAGATTTTGCAGCATGAAAATAAGCTTTTATATGAAGCTTTATAAAAGAAGAAGAAGTGCTGCCAACATGGAAAGCCTCTAGGTCTTGTGAATAAAGAGAATTTGCATGCTGCTCAATTCTTTTTATCTTCTAGAATTGCAGCAGCATGTCAGCAGCTTGAGACTAACAAGACTGCTAAGATTAGTGAGGCTGCTGAAAAAGCAGCAGTCAAGCTTCAACAGAATATATTGCATCAAGAGAAAGCAATTGTAAAAGCTGCAAAGCAAGCTGCAACTTGAGCTCTTAGACTAGCTAATGCTCAGAAGTGAAAGAGACAAAAAGCTGAGATTGCTGCTCATGTGACTACTTGTAAACTAGCTGCTGAGTGAAAGAAGACTGATAAGGAAGCTACTCAGCAAGCTACTAGAGAGTTAAAGCTTTCTAGAGATCAAAATCTCATTGCTGCTGCCAGATCAGTCAGATCAGTCAAATTCTCTACAAAGACCATACAAAGCCAAGAGCCTGGTGAAAAATCTAATCAGATCAACTCTATACAACCTTCTCAATCTGATAATCAATCAATTACACATCTATCAGCAAGCTCTTTATGATCTACTTCTTCTAGCAGTTCCTCTATGTTGCTGTCAATTTCTTCTTCACTCACCCCACAATTATCATGTTGTGGCCGCATTATTCAACTTCTATCTAGATTTTTGAATTAACTATATATTTTTATATGATCTATTCCTTCTACTAGATATATATTTTTAATTTAAATTAAATAAATTTATGAGTGGTTGAAAAATTGATGGAATTCCTTGAGTGGTTACTTGCTTGTAGAGGCGTGCATTGTGTGGCAGCGTGCGTTGTGTGATGGTTTACATTACATCCACTGTCTATCATTGCTCTAGTTGAAAAGGCATTATCTACTAGAGCATTGACAGTGAAGGGTTTGAATATCATCTTAGATTTAAATCCTCTTCATTACTTCTTCATAAGCTTCTTATTTCACTTCTTTCAGTGTCTTTTGATTGAAGCTACTCTTTTTTCTGAATCCTCACTTATATCTACATCATCATTGTCCAGTACCAGCTCAGGGATCACATTAGCTATTATAGAGCTGGCAGAGTATCTGAGAGGTTTGAACAGACAGCTCTTAATGATATGATCTTCAGCTTCACATCTCAGACACAGGTTTTGCTCTCTTCTTTGATTAATCTCTGTCTGATTTATCAATTTGATGTGATGAGCACTTGAGATCACAGCATCAGAAGAGAGATTCATCAGATCATCAGCAGAAGCTTGAGATCAGTTTCATTGATCAAAAACAGCATGACAAAGTAGAGAGTATGAATTAGACATCATATGATATGAAGAAGATCTGTCCTTGTGATGTTTAGACTACTGTCTTAAAGTCTTAAGCTCAAAGAGTTGATAATCAACTAATCTAAGCTTCTTGCAGTAATTCTTATAGAGAGATGGTTTTCTTATACCCATCATGCCTTCTCTCAGCTCCATGCTTAGAGTGGATTTTAAATACCTCTTTTTAACATGATCATCTCATCCATGATCACTAGCTTCCAGCTGTAACTGATTAAATTCAGGCAGAAAGTCAAAGAGAGCTCTTCTACTCTGTCATAAATTGTTGAGCTTTTGTATAGTCTTTTTTTATCATGCAGAATCAGTAAAGAGCATGTGTGTCTGCTTCAGTAAGCTCTCTACTGTGAAGTTGATCTTGTTCATATTATTCTCAATTCAGAGGTAAACTTGAGCTGCTGCCATTTCTTTCAGTCTTGAGTACACATATCAAACACATTCCTCATTATTATCTAAAGCTTTTCCATTGATTTTAAGTTTTGTTTGAAGCTTTAGCTCTCACTGAGGTTAGTGCTTTAGATTAGAATCATCATACTTCTTGCAGTCTGATAGCTTGATCTTTGATCTTCTGACTGCAATAAGTGATTGCAGATTCAATTGAGAGAGGATTGATGTCAAAGTGTTCAAAGCTTGTTGTAGATTAGCTATTTGAGCTTGCTGAGCTGCTATTAAATCCCTGTTCTTATGCTGGACCTGTTCCTGCTGTTGAAGAAAGATCATTCATTGTTGTTTGAAGCTGCTGAAGATGTCCCTGCTCATTTCTTCACATTGATTCATTTGTGTATTTGTTGTATAAGTCTGCTGCTTTATTTCATTCAGCTAGATGTTTTCAATATTGCTCATTTGTTTATTAGCACAATTGCTAACTCAGTCTATTCATATATCAGTGCTATCACTGAACTTTGTGATGCAGGATTTAAGGCTCTCAATAGTCTATTATATTTCAGCACATTTGCTGAGCTTTGTGATACAGAATTAAGACTTCCAGTGACCTATCAATGAAAGAAGTGAAGTAATTTGTAATGTAAAGGATTAAGCTTTAAGAACTAAAGGCTAGTCCTTCTATATAACAAGAATAAATTGCTTAAGAAAGAGAAGAAAAGAATGAGATGAGAACTCAAGCTTAAGCAAGCTTGCATAGCATGATCACATGTACACATGCAAACAATAGCTAGACTGAGTCAGTTAGTCAAAGTGAATCTAGAGGTTCAACCTCTTATACAGAGCTGTCATTTACAGTAAGTGAGATCTTTTTGCCCTCACTACTCTTCTTATTATTATATTTTCCTATTCTCACTGTGTTGGTGGTTCTTCATTCTTCAAAGATGCTATCTGAATTAGCTGCTCAGCAGAGCTCACCATGACAATGCTCACATTCCAGACAGATTGAGAGGTTGAAATTTGAATATCTGCTCATTCAATAGTCTTCACATCCCTCAGATTGGCCCTCACAGGCTGAATTATTTTGAATGTTGCTGCTATTATTGAAACCTGCAGCTGCATTTTCAGCCTGAGCCATATTGGCTGAAGAATTAGCTATCTGAGCAGCCTTCTTTGCCTCTTTGAAAGGGTTCAATCAAGAGTGTATTTCCTTCATGATTGAATGAACATTCAATACAACAGACTTTAATTTGAACTCTTGTAACTCCTTAATTTTCTTATGCACATAGTTTCACTATATATTGAGAAGTGCAGAATAGAACATGTGGAATACCATATTATTTGACAGTAAAATATCAAGTATTTCCAATTTCATAATAACATCATTGAACTTATTGAAAAATATATATATGTCAGTGACTTGAATATCACTCATTGATGTAAATGCCATAACTGCTTCTCTGCAGAGCTGTGTTCTCAGAATGAAGAACTTCTTCTCAATCATGTGTCAAAGAGAATAAGTAATTCTGCCCTCATCATATTTATTAAAATAGAGCTGAATGCTGGCTGCCAATGCATTCAAAATGAACATGTAAAGTCAGTGATTTTTGACCTCTCAAAAAGAAGCTCATTCAGAGTCTTCATCAGAGCTTTTGACTTGCTTGTCCTTCAATATAACCCAGCATTGAGCATCAATTAGCTTGGCCTTCATATTCATATATCAGAAGAGGTAATTTGAAGATCTGACCAGAGTGTTCAGCTTGATGGCATACTTAGTATACTGTTTGAACTGACTAATTGTCTTTCTGACGCAGCTATTCAGATTGTAGAGATTATATTACATTCAGAATCTCAAGTTCAGATCTCATGCTGATAGTCAATCTGTCAGTAGATTTGCAGGCATCACAGCTCTTTCATTGTGAGTGTGTAGCCTCTTCAATTGAAGTTGAAGCTGTAATTCTTTGCACCTCTCTTTTTGAAGTTCTAAATCAATCTTTTGACATTTAAGATTTAATCTCCTCAGTTGTGATTCTTCAGAGTTGATTGCTAGCAATAGATTAGAAGTCACTGCAGACATCTCTACCTCATCTTCTGAAGAAGTCAGATCAGCATATTCAACATGATGTAAGCGGATCAGCCTCACTATGATAGAGGCTGAAATCAGCTCAGCTTGCAAATTGAGCATTTCAGAGAGTTCAATATTGAAACTCTTGAACATCTCTGAGGGGGTCAGTGAGCTCATGCCCCTCTGATCATTTTCAGATTGATCAGATTGACTGAATTGACTCAATTGCAACTGTGAGTGAGTCATCATACATTTCACTATGTCATATTAATCTTCTTTAAAATAGAGTAATCTTATTCAGTAAGATTCTTACCTATAAGCTTGATTGAGTGAATTAGCATGTTCTTGTGCAATCAGTCAATGAAAAATTAGTGAGTTGCAGATTTTTTCACCTGCTAAGTGAACAGATTAAACACAGAAAAAAAAATAATATAAGAGCACATCAAATCAATCAATTGACATAAAATAAGATAATATTATATTGAATGAAGTGAGTAGTGATTAATATACACTATATTTGACAAGAATTCTTTGAATTGGCAGTTATTTGCGCAAAACAGATCTCATAACCTGTGAAGAATAGATTGCTTGATTGATTATGAAGTGATCACTAGCTACATAGAAGTTATAATGTAATCAATCACTCAACTGATCAGATCACTCAACTGGCCATCTCTTCACTGTACATTAAACAAATCTTTAAATTCTATCATCACTATATTAAATTATTCATTAAAAAATTATATACAATTAAATTCTAGCTCTGCAAGCATTCAGAGACTCTATGTTCAGTATTTTCACATTTGCTGCAGTGTGCTGATACTTGCTTTTTAGTGAATTGATTTGAATTCTTCATCTCTCTATTCATCATCTTCTGAGCAGTCTGAGCAGTCTGAGCTTTAACTAATTCTTCTTCTCCAGTCAGAATTTCTTTTTGATCTATGTAAATACAATCTTGTCCTCACTTGCATTTCTGCTTCCCATTTGCAGCTTATAAAGTCTTGTTCTTTTGAGTCAAAAGAGCACTCTCATGCATAGCTAGTTGACACCCTCAAACTAGTTGATCTAGAGCTTGGTTGGTAGGACTAGGCAGGCTTTGCATACAATGCTTGATAAACTGCTTGAGCTTGTTGAATTGACATTTCAATTGAACAGCATTTCAGAGAGTCTTTGAGATTCAGAAGGTTTGAGATTTATGAGATATGCTTGAGCTTGTTGAATTGACATTTCAATTGAACAGCATTTCAGAGAGTCTTTGAGATTCAGAAGGTTTGAGATTTATGAGATGTGCCTGGGGGACTTGATGTATGTAGTTGATAATATAGATGTTCAAGAACCTTCTCTGCATTGAATGACACTAAGCCTGTAACTCTGAATTCATTCTTAATAGTTATATTCTTCAATGCCTTCTTTCTAGCAACAGAATATAGTTCTAGGAATTCCTTCTCATTCATATGATTAATATCAAACCTCATGTCAGATTCAATCTACTTGTAATATGCCTTCTTCAGAGAAGCAAAGCAGCTCACATCTAGTGACTGCAGCAGATGAGAAGAATGAGATGGCATATAGAGAGCTATAATAGCATTCTCTCTGCAGAATTGATTAAATTCAGCAGTGATATGACTCTCATGCTTATCCAGAATCAAGAGTCTATATCTTCCAACTGTATAAGTCTGAGTAGACTTGTTAAACACCTGTTTCAGTCATATTAGACCAAGCTGATCAGTGGTCCAGCCATTCTCACTAACTCCAATTACTCAATCTGCTGGCAGGTTTGTATACCATGAAGTCTGATGTAGCTTGCTCTTGAGAATAATCATTGAAGACAGACTCTGTTCTCTTGCATTAACTGACTCAATTACAGTCATCCATTCTCTATTTTCTGACTGTATAAGAGATGCCTTTCCAGCTCTTTCTGACCTAGTGATCACTAAGATTGTTGAAATAACTCTCATAAAAAAGCCAACTTCATCAAAATTATATATATCCTCAGATAGAATTTTATACTTCTTCATGACATTATCCACCATTCTAAATCACCTCTTTATAATCTCTGAATCTTTACATAGAGCTCACTGGTGATCATATCTGTGTGTGAGCCTGATCTTCAGCTTAGAATAATGTTTAATAAATCTCCACATTCAGTATTCTCTAATGCTAGAGAATATGCTAGATTCACAGACTCTGAGTAGCTCAATGGCCATATATCATATACTTGCAATTCAGAAGAGTAGTCCTCTCTCATTCATGAAGATTATTCATTGAACTAGAGCTTCTTCTTCTGTAGATGTCAATTTCTGACATTGAAACTGAAATTTCACATGTGAAATGCCTCCATGTAATCAATTGAATAGGGTGACATGAGAGACACCATAGGTCTTAGCAGCAGCTTGAATGCTAGAAATTTGCTTGATTTCATATACTTTAATGATCAAAAGAAGTTTTTCTTCCTGATTAAGAACTTGAATTTTCATTGTGGTTGAGAAATTGAGCTTTGATTGTTGATAATGAGTTGAAATTGAAAAGATGGCCAGTTGAGTGATCTGGCCAGTTAAGTGATTGATTACATTATACAGTGTGAATTACATAAGAAGGTGGATAGATCTGACAACATATACAATGTCATAATACATTTCAACTCATTAATTAGTTAATGAATAATGTAATCAATCACTCAACTGGTCAGATCACTCAACTGACCACCTTTTCAATTTCAACTCATCATCAATAATCAAAGCTCAATTTCTCAATCACAATAAAAATTCAAGCCTCTAATCAGGAAGAAAAACTTCTTTTGATCATTAGAGTGTATGAAATCAAGCAAATTTCTAGCATTTGAGCTGCTGCTAAGGTCTATGGTTTCTCTTGTGCCACTCTATTCAATCAACTACATGAAGGCATTCCACGCATGAAATCCCAGTCTCAATGCTAGAAATTGACATCTACAGAAGAAGAAGCTCTAGTTCAATGAATAATCTTCATAGATGAGAGAGACCTACTTCTCTGAATTGCAAGTATATGATATATGGCCATTGAGCTACTCAAAGTCTGTGAATCTAGCATATTCTCTAGCATTAGAGAATACTGAATGTGGAGATTTATTAAACATTATTCTAAGCTGAAGATCAGACTCACACACAGATATGATTATCAGTAAGCTCTATGTGAAGATTCAGAGATTATAAAGAGATGGTTTAGAATGGTGAATAATGTTATAAAGAAGTATGAAATTCTATCTGAGAATATATATAATTTTGATGAAGTTGACTTTCTTATGTGAATTATTTCAACAATCTTAATGATCACTAGGTCAGAAAGAGCTGGAAAGGCATCTCTTATACAGTCAGAAAATAGAGAATGAGTGACTGTGATTAAGTCAGTCAATGCAAGAGAACAGAGTCTGTCTTCAACAATTATTCTCAAGAGCAAGCTACATCAGACTTCATGATATACAAATCTGTCAGCAGATTAAGTAATTAAGATTAGTGAGAATGGCTGGACCACTGATCAGCTTGGTCTAATATGACTGAAAGAGGTGTTTAACAAGTCTACTCAGACTTATACAGTTGAAAGATATAGACTCTTGATTTTGAATGAGCATGAGAGTCATACCACTGCTGAATTTGATCAATTCTGCAGAGAGAATGCTATTATAGCTCTCTATATGCCATCTCATTCATCTCATCTGCTGCAGTCACTAGATGTGAGCTGCTTTGCTTCTCTGAAGAAGGCATATTACAAGCAGATTGAATCTGACATGAGGCTTGATATTAATCATATAGATAAGAAGGAATTTCTAAAACTATATTCTGCTGCTAGAAAGAAGGCATTGAAGAATATGACTATTAAAAATGAATTCAGAGTCACAGACTTAGTGTCATTCAATGTAGAGAAGGTTCTTGAACATCTATATTATTAACTACATATATTAAGTCTCTCAGACATATCTCATGAATCTCAGATCTTCTAAATCTCAAAAACTCTCTGAAATGCTGTTCAATTGAAATGTCAATTCAACAAACTCAAGTAGTTTATCAAGCATTGTATGCAAAGCCTGCCTAGTTCTATCAATCAAGCTCTAGATCAACTAGTTTGAGAGTGCCAACTAACTATGCATGAGAGTGCTTTTTTGACTCAAGAGAACAAGACTTTATGAGCTGCAAATGAGAAGCAGAAACACAAGTGAGGACAAGACTGTGTTTATATAAATCAGAAAGAAATTCTAACTGAAGAAGAAGAATTAGCTAGAGCTTAGACTGCTCAGACTGCTCAGCAGATGATGAATAGAGAGATGAAGAATTCAAATCAACTCACTAAAAAGTAAGCATCAGCACACTGCAGTAAGTGTGGGAATACTGGACATAGAGCCTCTGAATGCTTGCAGAGCTAGGATTTAATTGTATATAATTTTTTAATGAATAATTTAATATAGTGGTAGCAGAATTTAAAGATTTGTTTAATGTACAATGGAGAGGTGGCCAGTTGAGTGATCTGGCCAGTTGAGTGATCTGGCCAGTTGAGTGATCTGGCCAGTTGAGTAATTGGTTACATTAGTAACTGGACTTGAATAACACTTTTCATGACTGAAAAATTGGATTACTGCATGTTCGAGGCTCTGTACAACAATCAACAGAAAGTTGACATATTCCTCTGTTGGAATAGTAAGGTTGAGCCTCTCACTGTTGCTATCTAACAGACGGTTTCCTGGCTTCAACTCAGCTCATTCAGTCATTAGTTAATTATTGCTAGCTGCTTCAAGGTTTTGCTTGTCATTCTTTTAAAGCTTGTCGTTCTGTTGGTTCCAAAGGGTGGAGAGCAGCTCGATGATGACGAAATGCCATATCGATCCGGAAGCCTCTTCCAAGGAAATGCCCTGTGCCCCAAAGCGTCATATCACTAGCAAACTATTTAGCTTAATATTTAAGTATGGTTGAATGACGAGTCTGATCTTAAATCCGGGTTTCACCGAGTCGCCATGCAATGAATTTTGCCTTAGCAGTTGTATATAAATTCAGATTCCTGTCTTATATAGTTATCTAATTTTTTACCATTTGTCTACCATTTGTTTCTGTGATCTTGCTCTTTTATTCCGGTGTCAATGTCCTATTGTGAAAAGTAAATCACAGCATTTTGGCAGCAATCATGATCGATCCAAATAACTTTGATACTTTACCCCCCACATCTACTATCGGCCCTGTGCCAACTGTTATTCCTGGGAATGAGCCCATCTTTCAAGAAATGGGCGGTGCTGGACATCGAACATTATGGTATATCTGATATCTGATCCAGTGAAGGAAGTTAGAATGCATCTTCTAATGGTGCTTATAGGGTGGTTACGATCTTAATGCTGCTGTCCTCTCTTATTTTCTATTTACTAGCTGCTCGAGTGCCTGTTGTAAGTTTCAAGCGCCCTTCCCCCCCACCCCCCAACCAACTAAATATTCCTTGTCTTTAAAAGGATATATATGTCTCAGGTATCTGACTTCCCTCGCACAGCAAAAACGTCTTTTCCATGTCCTTGTCTCCTTGATCGCAACCATATCTTTCATTACTTATTTTGCCATGAGCACAGGTGGTGGGAAGTCATATAACCATATTATTTTTCATGAACCTCACAAGAATGACCCCGATACCTTACAAGACGTATACCGTGAGGTATTCTGGGTACGATACGTGAACTGGGGTTTAACTTTCCCATTAGTTCTCGTTATTTTGGTCCTCTTGTCTGGCATGCATGGAGCGAGCCTTTTGGTGTCTGTCACCGCGCATTTCGTCATGGTGGTGGCGGGTACCATCAGCGCTTACGGAGGGCCTGGTGGCCGGAAATGGGCGTGGCATATGATTGCCTGTTTGGCATATCTGACGATTGCGTATCAAGTCGGGTTCAATGGACGCAGGGCCGTGGCTGCAAGGGACAACAGGACAAAGACACTGTTTTCCTCTTTGTCCGTCTTTGCGTTGGTTGTATTGCTAGTATACCCCGTGTAAGTAAATATCTTGTAGCTGGGAAAAGAAAAATTAGTTTACGAGGAGAGCTAATGTTGAAACTGGTCCAGGATCTGGGCCTCGTCCTCCAACGCCCGCCGCATGAGCATTGACGCGGAGACCATTGCGTATGCTGTCTTGGATATTTTGCTGCAAGGGCTTTTCGGATACTGGCTGCTCATTTCCCACGATAGCATGTCAGCCTAGTAAGTTCATCATGGTCGTCATCTATTCGATGTGATATTTACATTGTGTGTAGTTCCTTAAACATGGATGGGTTCTGGGCTCACGGTGTCGGAGGCGAAGGGAACATTCGGATCGGTGAAGAGGAAGGAGCGTAAATAACTCACTCGGCCTAGTTTATCTAGTTGAGTCCAGCGAATCTCCAGTATGTCGATGACATTGCTGGTATCCACGGGGAGATTTCACTGGGGACTTTCAACAAAATGGTGACAAACGTATTTGAGTTGTGGCTTCAGTTTCATTTGTAGTCATCTTTTAGTTCCTCTATTTAATCCTTTTTTTTCCTTTTTCTTTTCTTTTCCTTTTTTAGTTTTTTGTCGAAAATTCATGACCACTTTGGAAGATGGAATGCCTGTTAAATAGTTATCATTTGGCACTAAATTGTTCCTGAAGTTGGCTGCATATTTTGATGGAGAGCAAATGCTGGGATTGGTTTGGGGTATGCTCTGATACATAAATTATTATATGTGGATAATAAAAGGCATTCCATGTGTTACATAAGGAGATTGAATAGCAGTGGCGATAATCATTAAACGTAACTACGTGTATTTTGGGATTCTCCAAAGACCTCGTTTCTTAATAATTTTCCTATATTAACTAATAAATAGTTATGTAGTTAAATATCATTTCCACCTGCCTAGAAAATCCAAACATACCGCACGCCTCACATGAACCTCTCGGAGGCAAACATACGGAGGGGAATAAGAGATAGAACATGAAGCAGAAATTAATTGTACCAGGCTATTTTTGGTAGTGTATTTATCAAATGCAATCATCTCTTCATGCGAACATGGGAAATTTCAGCTCCTTAACGGCTCCAACCCCTTCCAAAACCAAATAAAGTGTCAAATCATAAAACAAACGCCGCAGACTTAATACTTCTTGCCCTCTCTCAGCACATCGCCAAACTCATCCAGTGGACTCCGGATGAGCTTAGTCTCCTTCCACAAGTTGGGGGTGAGAAAGCTGTATGTGTTTGCGACGGCGACGAAGGTAGCTTTGAGAGTGTTTTCAAGGGTCTTTGTGGAGCCAGAGGAGGAGGTGTAGATGTCGTGGACACCAGCGAGTTGAAGAAGGCGCTTGACAGCGGGGGAGGCAACGAGGCCAGTACCTCGAGGAGCGGGGATCAGCTGTGTTGATTTAGTTAATTTAGTTCCGCATTTTCATATTTCAATACCTAGGAAATTTGAATATATGAGGTAGACATACTCGAACAGTGACGGAGCCACACTTGCCGCTCTCCTTGGTTGGCAGCGAGTGAGGCTCACCGAGGTTGGAACCCCAGTAGCCTCTGCGGACGGGAAGGACGGAGAGCTTAGCGATGATGATGGCGGCGCGGATGGCTGTAGCAACCTCCTTGGAGGTCTTGATCCCGAGGCCAACGTGGCCCTCCGAGTCTCCGATAACGACAACTGCCTTAAACCGGGTGCGCTGGCCGGCGCGGGTCTGCTTCTGGACGGGTTTGATCTATAACAGCCAAATTGAATCAGTTATATATGAAAAGTATTTTCTCCTTTCCTATTTGCATCGAATAAGAACCTGTCCATTCCAATCTCAGCGCTGTATTCCAATACATCTCCTTCCCTTCCGCCCTCATCCTCTTTGAACTCAGGTAGCATTGTTATGATATGAAATATATACCTTCATAACCTCGTCTTTTAGGTTTGGCAGGAAAAAGTCGACGATCTGATATTCTTTGATGGGCAGGGAGTGTAGATAGATCTGTTCCATGTTGGAGATCTTGCCAGCCTTGACGAGACGGCCGAGTTTTGTGACAGGCTGCCATTCCTTCTCCTCACTCTTGGGCCCACGACGGCCACGACGGCCTCTTCCTCGGCCACGGTCACCACCACGGTCACCGCGCGAACCGAAACCTCCACGGGCACCACCACGGGGAGTGTCAGCCATACTGGTTAGACTGGGATCCGAGAAATTGAGGGAGGTAGAACGTGAGGGTGGAGATACGAGTGGTGGGTGGGATTTTGGTTGTCGTCGTCGTCGCTATCAACCGTTAGAAGCGTTAGAGAGATAAGGACTGAGAAGTGTGCCGCTGAGTCAGCAGGTGCTAAGCGAGCGGGCAAGACCCAGCCCTAAGCCCTAAAACGCATCCGAATTGGTAATAGCACATGTAAAGGGGAAAGCGGTGAGCGTGACAATAAACACCCAACCAACAATCGAGGGAGAGAGAAAAAAGTTAGCTAGATCTATGGATCTATTGTCTATTCCATCCTGTAGATATCAAGCATGAGTTTCTGTATCTGTCAAGGGAGGGTAAATAGACAGAATATATATAATAGATATATATAAGAAATATACCCGTCATGCTGCACTGGTAAGTCTGCTCCAACTGATTGATATAGTTAACTAACTCCCAACTAAGCTAGCCAACTAACCGCTCCGTTCTCTATACGGATTATCTCCCAGGTATCAAGTCCAATTGGCAAGGAGGCCATTGCTTACACAGAGCGTCGGGAGTGCTGTATGTCTTATTTATCATACGAAAAACCCCTATTCAGTGCTGACTGGCAGGGCAGATCCTCTTCGGTGCTGGAGATGTTCTCGCCCAACAGCTCGTAGACCGCGCAGACACAGAGCACCACGACTATGTCCGCACTGCCCGAATGGTCCTGTACGGTGGTGGTATGCATATATATGTCTTCTTTGGAGGACCTTCTTCCATTAGTTGCCCTTAACTGGGAATATTAAACAGAAATCAATGCTAACTGATTTTTAAAAGCCATCTTCGGCCCCGGAGCCAGCACTTGGTACAAATTCATGGATCGGCACATCATCCTGAGCAGCCCCAAAATCACCCTCGCTGCCCGTATCGCCGGTGACCAATTGCTCTTCACCCCAACACACATGTTTGCCTTCCTCTCCTCCATGTCCATCATGGAGGGCAAGGACCCCAGGGAGAAACTGCGTAACAGCTACTGGGCCGCCTACAAAGCCAACCTGATGATCTGGCCATGGGTTCAGGCTGTCAACTTCACCTTTGTGCCCTTGCAGCATCGCGTGCTGGTGGTCAATCTTGTCAGTCTTGGTATGCATCTCTATTTATATATCTCTATCTTTCTATCTTTCCATCTATATTTATATAAATATATATGTCTTACTAAACTATCACAGGCTGGAATTGCATCCTCAGCGTCATCAACAGTAGGAAACAGTAAACTTTCCTTAAAATTTCTCTGGCTGTAATTCTGCATGTACTGCATATACTCCAAATATATATAGTTAAACACTTTGCATCAGGAGCTGAAGGTTAAGTACGAGTTTGTTCTCTTCAGGTATTAAAGGGGAATAAATGATCATCATATCAGGCTTTCAATATCCTGTGGCTCAATAGACATTCTCGCCCTATGACTTGGCGGTTTGAATTATTTTGCATTTTATTATCTAGATATATACTATTTTTTTATTTTTTTTATTTTTTATTTATTTTTTTATTATTTTATTATTACTTTTTAACTCATTCTAATAACTATTAAAAATAGCTAAAATAAAAATTAATTTAAAATATATATGAAATTAAAAATTATCAGTTATTTATTTTTTATATATATATAAATTAAATATAAAATATCAATAAATCTGATTCTATTATAAAAGTTCGTAAATATATATAATCTGACTAAATTTGAATAGATTAACTATGATTTAATAAAAAAGTTCAGTCATTCAAATTTTTTTCACTTGCTTTTTTTCTTTAATTATTAATTAATATAAGTTATTACTAAATAAGCTATATTACTATATAAGCTACTTTTAGAAAAACTAATTTAATTTAATAAAATTTAAATAATTTAACAATTGTAAAATAAATATTAATTGAATTATTAAATAATAATAAATATATTATCTAGTTTTATATAAAATAAATAATTTAATAAAATTAATATATATTAAATTGAAAAATATCATTATGATAAAAGAATTAGTATAAAGTTAGAAGATTAATTAAAAAAGTATTAATTTCTAAATTAGTAATAGAAGCAATAATAAGCTTCTTCAGAAAATTAAGATTAATCTCATTTTTTAAAATAAAAAATTAAATAGAGTTTAAAGAATTAAAAATTATTTTAGATATCTGTTTTTGCTATTACTTTGATGCAGTTATAGTTAAACTGATTGATTTTCACTTCATAATATAAGTATGAGTTTGCTTTTACTTTTTAGCTTCAAAATAAGGTTTTTTAATCTTACTAGTAATTTATTGAGCTTTGTACTACTCTATATTTTTAATTTTTTAATGAGCTTTCTGAGTTGCTATCTGAGCTACTTATTATTTAATTTATTTTTACTGAGATTATTCAGCTTTATTACTTTTTAAAGATTATATTTAAGTTATTTTTAAATTTATTAAGTTTTTTTTTTAATAATCTACTTTGTGAATTCTTTTCTGAGTTTATTAAACTCTGAATAATGTGAAAAATTAAATTTAATTAATCTTTTACTCTGAATTCAATAAATTTACAAGTTTTTTAAATTGTTATTTATTTTTTCCATTATATAAAACTTTAATTAAAAAGTTTAATTTTCATATACAAACATCTTCTTTTTTAAAAAAAGCTTCTCACCAGCATGTATGATTTTTTTCATAACTTTATAGATCAGACTTTGCCGAATTTGAATTTTTTTAATATTATATTGAAGTGTATAAATAATTATAAATATAGTAATCTCAGTTGAAGTTGAATTAATTAAAAATATAAATTATATTATAAATAAGTAAAAAATATACTCAGAAATAAAAAAGTAAATACTAATAATAATAAATATAAATTAAATACTTTTAGTAATTAAAAACTGATATCATATAGAATTGAAAACTGATAAAAAGTTTTTTTTATATTATTTAAATGAATTTAAATTCACTATAAAGAAGATTATTAATATTTTAAAATAATACCTCTGCTGTTACAGTGCTATTATTGATAATATAAATTAATATTAATTTGCTTTAACTCTTAATTATATTTAATTGCTTAAATTGATCTACTTCAATTTTTAATCATCTATATATATCAAATTACTTATCTTATTCTATATTTTAATTCATAGTTTAATATTCTTATTATAGTTATCTAGTAGATAGATGAATTGAACTTTTATCTTATTATTATCATATCTTTAGACTGAGTCATAATATAATATTAAACTATTTTTCTTATAAGTTCTGAGAATTGAATAAACAGATTTTATGTCTATATTAGTATCTATGTTTATATTTATATTCAAATCTATATTCATGTCTATATTCACATCTATATCTATATCTGTATTTAATTAAGCTTTTCAGTGATTATAAGTATGTTGAGTATTTAAAATTTAAGTTAATTTTTATTCTTTCTTATTTATCTTTATTATTTTTATCTTCATTATAGAAGTTTCTCTTGCTGCTCTTTATTAAAAAGTTAAAAATACTATTCAGAAGCTTAATAATAAAAATCAACAGTTGCAAACTAAATATTAATCTTTATAGACTAAATATCAGTTCTTGCAGACAGCTTTAAATAACTTTCAATCTCAATTTCAATCTCAATTTTATCTGAAACTCTTACTACCAGACTCTGAAAAGTTCACTAGTTAACCTCTAAAATTTGACATCTGATTTCTTTAATTAAAGTTGAACTATATGTTAATTAAGCTACTATTGAAGATCCGATTGCTCAATTCTACTCTATTTATTTGAATTTAGATTCAAGTATAAAAGTGATGACTTTTCCTAAGCTAGTTCAAGCTAAAAAAGCAAGTAATTAAAACTACAATTCAATTCCTTATCAGTTGTCTTATGTATATAATAATTCAAATAAGATATTTGAGGTAAAAGATAAAATTATAGTATAAAGTGAAGCTCAAGTAAACTTCTGACAATCTATAATACTAAGTTTGAATATATTTTATATGAGACTAAAGCTCAGAAGTGATCAGATTTTTAAAAAATCTTTCAATTCTATTAAAATTTTAGTATGCTAATCTACAACTATTTAGCTTAACAGTTGAATTTATATCAGATTTATAAAAAATTTCTGTATATTATCTAGTAGTTAACTTTTTAATCATTTCTTCTATTCATTCTCATTTTATACTTCTCAATAAATATATTACTAAGCTCTTTGTAATCATTCAGCTCACTATGATTATTCTGATTTTATAAATATAAATTAGATTAATGCTTGTAACTTTTTACATAATTTTTTATTATATATTTTATTTCTTTCATCTTCTTAATAGAGGAAATATTATCAAAATTATTGTATATATTATAAATCTAATAATATAAGGGATTGAATCTCTAGATTCACTCTGGCTGGCTGACTCAGCCTTGTCATTGTTTGCATGTGTGCACATGATCATGCTACATGAGCTTGCTTAAGCTTGAGTTCTCATCTCATTCTTTTCTTCCCTTTCTCAAGCAATTTGTCCTTATTATATAGGAGGACTAGTCTCTAGTTCTTAGAGCTTAACTCTTTATATTATGAATTGCTTCACTTCTTTCATTGATAGACCACTGGAAGTCTTAATTCTGTATTATAAAGCTCAGCAAACATGCTGATATATGATAGACTATTGAGAGCCTTAAATTCTGCATCATGAAGTTCAGTGATAGCACTGGTATATGAATAGACTGAGTTAGCAATTGTGCTAACAAATGAATAAGCAACATTGAAAACATCTAGCTGAATGAGATAAAGTGACAGACTTGTATAACAAATACACAAATGAATCAATGTGAAGCAATGAGCAGGGATGCTCTCAGCAGCTTCAAACAACAATGAATGGCCTTTCTTCAATAGCAGGAACAGGTTCAGTGTGAGAACAGAGATTTAATAGCAGCTCAGCAAGCTGAAATAGCTAATCTACAACAAGCTTTGAACACTCTGACATCAATCCTCTTTTAATTGAACTTGCAACCACTTATTGCAGTCAGAAGATCAAAGACCAAGCTACCAGACTGTGAGAAGTATGATGGTTCTAATCTGAAGCACTACTCTCAGTGAGAGCTAAAGCTTCAATCAAAGCTTAAGATCAATGAGAAAGCTTTAGGCAATAATGAGGAATGTGCTTGATATGTGTACTTGAGACTGGAAGAGATGGCAGCAGCTCAAGTTTATCTCTGAGTTGAGAATAATAAGAATAAGATCAACTTCACAGTAGAGAGCTTACTGAAGCAGATACACATGTTCTTTAGTAATCTCACATAACAGAAAAAGACTATGCAAAAGCTCAACAATCTATGACAGAGTAGAAGAGCTCTCTTTGACTTTCTGCTCAAATTTAATCAGCTACTGCTAGAAGCTGACAGTCACAGATGAGATGATTATGTTAAAAAGAGGTATTTGAAATCCACTCTAAGCATGAAGCTGAGGGAAGGCATGATGGATGTAAGAGAACTATCTCTCTACAAGAATTACTGCAAGAAGCTTATATTAGTTGATCATCAACTCTCTGAGTTTAAGACTCTAAGGCAGTGATCTAAATGTTGTGAGGGCAGATCTTCTTCAGATCATACAACATCTAATCCATACTCTCTACTTCATCATGCTGTTCTCAATTGATGAAATCAGTCTCAAGCTTCTGCTGATGATCTGATGGATCTCTCTTCTGATGCTGTGATCTCAAGTGTCCACCACATCAAATTGATAAATCAGACAGATATTAATCAAAGAAGAGAGCATGGCCTGTATCTGAGATGCAGAGTCAGAGGTCATATGATTAAGAGCTGTTTGTTCAAACCTCTCAGACACTCTGCCATCCTCACAATAGCTAAGATGATTTCCAAGCCAGTACTGGATGACAATGATGTGAATATGAGTGAGAATTCAGGAAAAAGAGTAGCTTCAATCAAAAGACACTGGAAGAAGTGAAATAAGAAGCTTATGAAGAAGCAATGAAGAGAATTTAAATCTAAGATGATATTCAAACCCTTCACTGTCAATGCTTTAGTAGATAATACCTTTTCAACTAGAGCAATGATAGACAGTGAATGTAATGTCTATGATCTTATTTCTTAATTCTACATTAACAAGCATAAGCTTCTGTGCATTGAAATTCCCTCTGTTAAAATGACCAGCTTTGAAGACTTCATGGGACTCTCCATGAGCATAGTGACTGGCATTTGAATTGATATAGATGGTCATGTAACTGAATGAGCCTTTCTCTACATGGT